GTGTGTGTGTGTGTGTGTGTGTGTGTGTGTGTGTGTGTGTGTGTGTGCGCGCGCGTGTGTCTTTCCATGTCTGTCTGTCTCCTTCGCACTCTCCCTCACTGTATGCCAGTTTCCTTGCCTTTTTGGGCTTCTGGCCCGTTCACAAGCTGTCTCATTTGCATTATGAATGACAGTGAGGGGAGCTAACAAGGTTATTGGTCTTTGAGACGCACGCCTGTGACCACACGTGGAAAAAGGACCTACAGCAGTGTGCATTGGCAAAGGCACTGAGCCTCTTTATTCGTCCTTTTCCAAGCGCTATGGGGCTTTTTTTTTTTCAGCAAGCACACGATTTACTCAGGAGATGGAAGAAAAGGAGTTGGGCTGGGGAAAGGGGGGTCAGGATTGGGGAGCGGGTGAGGGTGGTTGCTTTTCAGCTCCTTTACAAGCCAAGTGAACCCTCATTATCCAGGCCTCTGGTCATTAGAGAGCACTGTGTTCAGAACCAGTGCAATAGAAGGGGTGTTTATTAGCTGACTGCAAGATAACCAAATCATATTGTCTCGGGGTGGGGATGCACGATATTGGCACTCTACTTGTCAGTTGAGAGCAATTTATAAACCAAAATCAGGTGAATTAAAAAAAACAGTGGTAAATGGTTAATGATTAATTAACCAAACTAAAAAAATTAGCTCCGTGCTTTGTCTGAAAACAAGTTATTTATGAACTTCCATCTCAATTTACGTTTCTTTCTTCACCAGATTTTAGATTTGCCATGTACCCTCCATCCATGATCGCCACCGGAAGTGTGGGGGCAGCGATCTGTGGCCTACAGCTTGATTCACCTGATCACTCGCAGTGGGGCGACAGTCTGACGGACCTGCTGGCTAAAATCACTAACACAGAAGTGGTAAGCTTGTCTCATATTCTTATCAAGAGCACTTGTTTAAGCTTTTCAGAGCAAAACACCATCTCTGGTTTTGTGCAATAATAAAATTTGAATCATACTGAAAACCTGAGCCCCAGTGCAGTCTTGGTAGGGTTTGTCAAGAAGAAACCTGACATTTGGAAACTTATGGGGAATGTTTCTGAGTAATATATGTGCATGCATGCAGTCAGTAAATGTTGACATCTCTAACATCAGTCAAGTATTTACTAAAGTTCAACATTTACAGTAACTGTGATTCAAAGCTGAATCAGCTGCTGTCTGCACTGGGAGCTTTTCATCTCTGCAAGCTGTTTCAACATTGCCACTAAAATGCTCCAGATAACGAATCTAATTACCACTAAAACAGTTTACAACCTCTCACTGGCCATGTTCTTGTCTGCCAAACCTACTGTATCTGCCATAAAGTCCCACGTTTGTTGAAGTTGGGCATTTGTAACACTAAAGTGAAAATGGTAAATAGACTGTACTTATATCTAATCAAGATACTCAAAGCACGTTTACAACACAATCTGTGCCCTCATTTACCTCCACATACACATTCATACAGCACTCTACTAGATCTCTACAAAGCTAATATGAACAAATCGTTCTACAGAGACTAATCGCTGCTTTTTAGATCAAATTTATACACCGATGGGACACGTATCAGAGGCAATGAGGGGTTCAGTGTCCTGCCCAGGGGCACTTCAACGTGTGACTGCTGGTGGAATCAAACCCCCAACTCTCGCATTGGAGAACGACTGCTCTAACCAATCAGCCACAGCTGCCCGAATGTGAAAATGTTGAAACATCATACGCAAATTTGGCTTCACTGAGATTCAGCTTCCCGCAAACCAACTTTTGTGCCGATAATTGTCAACAGAAGAAATGCTTAAAATAAATCTTTAGAAACCAAACTCAGAAATGTCTTCATTAAATGAAATGTTCAGCATGCTGAAGGTATCGGCTCTGGTTTTCATGCACTTTACTCGGCTGAACGCTGAACTTAAAGGTGGCGGGTTTCCTTTTCCATTAATCAATCCATGTAAAGATCCCTCCTAATCAAGTGAGGTTTAGACCATATACGTTATGCTCTGTCACCGAGGAGAAGGCTGGCTGAGTTAAGTCCAAACACATGCAGGGCCCCTGCTGACTTTAAGATGCCTGGCTTTCATCATGCAGATGGTAGAGCGCTTTCAGCTTCCTGTAGCTCACTGCAAGGGTTACTGTGTGGACAGAGCTTCAGAAGACGTGGAGAATAACACTATACGACTTTTATTATTGTTGTTGTTATTTGTCTCTGCTGGGAAATTAGCTGTCTGAATTTGACCCATGCAAATGATTCAGAAGCAGCGGGCAGCCACAGAGCAGCTCTCAGGGACCAGCTCCAGCTCTGAAGCCGCTGGTTTGGCAGGAGAACTTGTAATACCAAACACGATGAAAAAGGCTTTTGGTTAGTAAGAGCAGACTTAACACAAACATTTGATTTAGTGTGTGTACAGTGCATACGGAGCATCAGACATGACACTGATCCCAAACACCACTCACGTACATTAAAACTGTGTCCTGAAAGGTGGCAAGGCAGGAAATGGAGGAGGAGGTGGAAGAAAGCTGTTGATGTGTGAAAAGGACGCAAAGGGGGTGTCGTGTCTCCCTTGCGACAATCAGACTTGTCCCTTCTTCTCCTGCGGTCCATAATGCAGCAGTGCTGAAAAGCATGGCTCCCTCTGGTGCGAGCTGTGTGAAGTCTCACATAGCAGCTGAGGAAAAACAAATAGCTGGCTGCAGTTGTACAGGGCCTCAGTGTGTTTAGGTTGCAGGGTCGAAGACTTGGGGGAGGGGGGGGGGGTGTAAGTTGCTCTGTGTCTCTACAATCAACGCCTTACTGTCCTGAAAGCAGATGGACTATGACTTGCAGTAAACACACGAAAGCAGAAGGCATCCTTCTTAACCCAACGTACATACGAGAGACTTTAGTCTAAACTGCTGATGGGACATTGCCTGCTGCAGATGATGAAGGCAGAGCGATGATTTACTTTTGTTGGTCTGTGTGTGTGCCTGTGGGTTTTTTTTTTTTTTTTTGCTGTTAAAATATTTCACTAACCAGTGGATGGATTTAAATTAAGCTAATTGAATAAACAAGTCAATTTTACTGCAACAGAACTCCAACTGGGTGTGGTAGTAACTGAGACTCATACCTAGCGTGCTCTCAGTGCTAAGTGATTGAGCAAAATCTTTTTTTTTAAACTTTTTTTTATTACATTTTGAAGACTACCCAATTTAAGATGACTGCCACAGCTTATCTAGCTTTTCCAACACAAAAATTACTATAAATTACTCAAAATTTCAGCTTTTATAGTAAATTTAGGTTGTAAGTAATTGAGTCATCCTCAACACATATTTTAAACATTAACACATCGCATGATGTAGTTGTGCGACCATTTTGATTTAAGCAACGAGCAATACACATTTCTTTAAGCAATGCTAAACCGCTAATTAGGTTTAGTATTACTTCTTTCAAAACTTGCACTGAAAGCATGACTTGGAAAAAATGTTTATCAAGTACAATCTGATGATGACATATCAGAGGCTTCAGTGTGACTAATATGAATTGGTGTTATTTTAACATTTATCTCTCATTTTTTCCCAGAAACAGTCTCTATTTTTATGTGAGCGTGACAAACAATTCCGCCTCAACCTCCTTCGTTATGAGGATACAAACCTTACAGTGCATGTAAATGTCTGTACTTAGTTTTGTAGAATTTGAGATGGCAAAGCACCATCTCAACCAGGCAAAATATGAAGCCAACGTTCCTCCAACCCCTGCAGCTGCTGCTGCCAGCAGCTTCATGGCCAGCGCCACCACCCCTGGCATGTGTGGCATCCAGAAGCTGTGGTTTTCCAGTGGAAATATGATAGGGTTGAGTCACCATCTTGGGTCACTGAAGGAATGCATATTGCTTCACACACCTGATGTGGCCAAGACACAAGCTGACAGGTCTGTGTGTGTTAGAATGTGCATGCAATTTGTGCAAATGTGAGACATGGATCAGTTGTGTTATTCTAATGTAGCTATACAGAGTTTAACAGTAAAAGACTGAAGTGTGAAGCTTCCGTTTGTCCATGATTGATTAGAACAGGATATAGAGGTTAGAGAAGTGCAAGGTATTTTAGACCACCACTTCCTACATTTTATTGTTTTGACACTCATTTTCTCTCAGTCTCTCATTCATAGTTTTCTCAGTCAGGGTCATACACTAAGCCACCGGAAACACATTTTCCCATTTCACCCTATGTTCCTGTCTTTGTACCTCTTTTTTTCACTGTGGCTTTTATGACCAAAATGTTTGCAACTAAGACGTTATTTTGCAAGATTAACTCTAATAACACTCGCAGTGGCCTTCCTACTTGGGATGTTTTGGCATGCAGGCCAAAGGAAAAGAAAGGGCACATTTTCTTTTGTAACTTATAATTCTAGTCATGTGGCATCTTTGTTTTTCCTGTGTCAATCCTTCGATGTTTTGTTTTGAGATTCTCTTGAGTTCTGTGTGTTTGTCTGCCAGTGTGTTTGTTTCAGCTGTCTGACCAGAGTTCTTAACACTGTCTTTTGTGGTACAGTCAGCAGTTAAAACACATTCCTTGGCTTCACACATTTATTCTCATTTTGGTTTTGTCTGTCTGCATGACTTTTCCCCGGCTGCCAGTGTCACAAAGGCCACCCGGGGATAATGTACATGCTTGGATTTTTCAGAATGACACCCTGATGTAGAATGATGCATGCTTGAGCTTGAGCCAAGATGGCTGTGACTAGAAGGAGAAGAAGTGGTCACGTGTTTTCTGATTTTAATGCAGCAAAATGTGATGCAATGCTGTGCCTCATGCAGCCAATTTATTCAGGCCTGGTGGCCGCCACATTGTCCAGTACCTTGAGCTGTTCTGAAAACAGCACTGATGTTTCCAGTAGTCACACACTGAAGTCATTAAAGGTTCTCAAAAAAGCCCATGAGGCTTGGCATGGGATCCAAACTGCAGCTTTTTCAAGCAGCAAAGACTGGGGGAGACTGTCTTTTAGGAAGTGAAGGCATGCATTCTTGCGGTAAGACGCAGGCAGTTCCTTTGCATGTTCGGTGCTGCATTTAATTTTCTCCCAAGGTTTGAGATTTTATGACCAATGGGGCTTATGTTGGTGGGAAGATTTAGTACATGCCTATATGTGTGTGTGTGTGTGTGTGTGTGTGTGTGTGTGTGTGTGTGTGTGT